TTATCCAGCCTATCTTATCTAGGTAGACCTGCAGAGATAATAATTACACAAAAACAAGACAGCAAAACAAAACAACAAAAGAAAACAAAACAACAACAACAACAAAAAAGAAAAACAAGGTCTGTTTGTTGACCTTGAAGAGTTTTCCGGTTGAGTCTGATGGGGTGCCAAGCCCTGGCCCCAAAGTCCATTTTTGGTATTCCCTTGGGGCTTCTTGCTCTGCTCCCCTTGCTGTTCTGTTGCACGCCCTTAGTGTTTTGCCTTGGTGTGGTGGGGTCAGATCTGGCGTAATTCCCATACCATGTCTCCAATGTTGTTCCCAGTAGGGCTTTGGGTCAGTGAGGGATATCGTGTTTCATACTGGGGCTGGCTAAATGGTCTTCTCTGTGCACCAGCTGCTCTGAGCCGGGAAATCGTCCTCAAGGCTTGGTAGGCCAGGACGTGCTCCTCTTCCTTGCCCTTCATTTGCTCCTGTGTCCTCTGATCAGACATGTCCCTCTCCCTGAGCTGTAGCTTCAGTACTGTCCTCTGAAGTAAGTTCTTCTGGGAGGAGGGGCAGGTGTCCACGTAGTTGGGATTGGGGCTGGCTCTTCAGACCTCTCTACTGGTTCTCTGCTTCAAGCCCGTATGTTGCATTCACATCTTGGAGTACCCAGTTGAAGTCCAGTCTCTCTTTCCCTGTGGAGATATAAACAGTACCTTCCCCTTGGGTGGGTTAGTGTCCTGTTCCCCCACTACCCATTTCTTTCCCCCTCCCCTCATTTTTAGTTGGCTACCATACGTAACCCTGGACTTGGTCTGGCCCTGCCATACTACCTGGACCTCACCCTGGGAATGTTTGTATACAGTAGCTTTTTCCCTATGCCCCTTTTGCATTTTTTTTTAAAGCTTACCTCAGCGGACTCATGTTGTACTTGTCCTTTTGTGCTTGGCTTACTTCACTTAGCATAATTTCCTCCAGTTCTTCCCATGTGACAATGTACTTAATGCATTCATCACTGCTTTTTAGTGATGTGTAGTAATCCATTGTATATATGTACCAGTTTTTTAATCCATATGTCTGTTGATGGAAATTTGGGTTGTTTCCAACTCCTTGCAATTGTGAACTGTGCCGCGATATGAACACTGGAGCACAGATGTCTGACTGTGGTTTGTTTCTTGTCTCTTCTGGGTATATACCCAGTAGGGGGATAGCTGAGTTCTATGGTAGCTAAATATCTGTTTTAGATGTTGCCAAATCGATTTCCATAGTGGCTGTACATACCTACAGGTCCACCAGCAGTGGACGAGAGTTCCTATCTCCCTACAGTTCCTCCAACACATGTTGCTTTCTGATTTTTTGAATTGGGCTATCTTTGATGGTGCTCGGTGGTATCTCATAGTTGTTTTAATTTGCATTTCTCTTATGGCTAGTGATCGGGAACATTTTCTCATGTTTATTGGCCATTCTGATTTCTGCCCTTGTGAAACTTCTGTTTGGGTCCTTTGCCCACCTCCTCAGTGGGCAATTAGTTTTTTTCTTTTTGGAAGCTAGCAGAGTATTGTAGATTTTAGTTATGAGGCCTTTGTCTGATATGTCATTGCTAAAGATGTTTTCCTTGTCTGTGGACTCTTATTACTCTCTTGGCGAATTCTCTCATTGTACACAGTTGATTTATCTTCAGTGTATTCCGCTTGTCAATTTATGCCTCATCTGTATTTGTGTTCTTCCATATTTCTGATAGCCTATGTATTCCCTGCACAAAGTTCTCAGGTTGGTCCTAATTCCCTCATTGATGGCCCTAATAGTTTGGGGTTTTACCTCAAGGTCTGTGATCCACCTTGAGTTTATTCTTGTGGATGGAGTGAGATAAGGGTCTTGCTTCATTTTTCTGTAGGTAGATAGCCATTTTTCCCAGCACCACATGTTGAAGAGGGCATCTGATTCCCATTGGATATTTTGGGGGCCCTTATCAAAGATCAGTTGTCTGTATGCTGATGATTTTATTTCTGGGTTTTCATTTCTTTTCCATTGGTCTATCTGTCATTATACCAAATACCATGCAGTTTTGACCACTGTGCTGTATAAATATGTGCTAAAGTCAGGTAAAGCAAGCTCTGCCACTGTGTCCTTCTTCTTGAGAAGTTCTCTGCTAATTTTGGGCTTCTTCTCTCTCCATATGAAGTTGATATTCAGTTTTTCCATTTATTTGAAGATACATGAGGGTAATTGTATCAGGATTGCATTAAATTTATATAGTGCCTTTGGAAGAACTGACATCTTTATTGAGTCTTCCAATCCATGAGCATAGGATATTCTTCCATTTGTTGAGGTCGCTCTTGGTTTCTTGTAATAGTGTTCTGTAGTTTTCCCCATATAGATCTTTTGTTCTTTTAGTCAGGTACATCCCTGGATATTTCAATTTGTGCTTGGCTATTGTGAAGGGTACCACCTTTTTGATCTCCTCTTTCTGTGGTCTTATCCGATGTGTATAGCAGTCAGGTAGACTTCTGTTTGTTGATCTTGTATCCTGCCAGTCTGCCATACTCCTCTATTGCTTCCGGTACTCCTCTTGGGGCTTTTGGGATTTTCCATATATAAAATCATATCATCTGCAAATAACAATAGTTTCACCTCTTCCTTCCCCAGGCGAGTACCTTTGATGTCCTTTCTTCACCTTATGCTGTTAGCTAAAACCTCTAGTATGATGTTAAATAAGAGTAGGGACAAGGAGCATCCTTGCCTGGTCCTCTTTTTCAATGGGATTGTGTTCATCTTTTCTCCATTGACTACCACGTTGGCTGTTGGTTTTTCATATATAGTTTAAGATAATAATCTTAAGGTCTGTTTATTCTTCCAGCACATGGGGACTAAAGAAGAATATGTTAAAGTCAGAAAGAAAGACCTGGAACGGTTGACAACGGAAGTGATGCAAATACGGGACTTCTTACCCAGAATACTAAATGGGGATGTGCTGGAAAGCTTCCAGAAGTTAAAGATTTTAGAAAAAAGTGAGTCATATTCCATTTTTAGCGGTCACTGGTGATGGCAACAGTCTGTTCAATGCTATGGTATTCCCCTAACGTAAGTAATTGTAAACATTTTAAAATACTGTTATAGGCCTTGTATTACATGTGAGTCAGTCAGATAACAGCAAGGCTTAACACGGTTTCAAACCATTTTAGTAATGGCTGAAGAAGCAAAATTAGAACCGACCCAAGCAGACCTGGTAGTGCTGTTGTGGTAAGCATTGGACTGCTAACCACAAAGTCAGCAGTTCAAAACCACCAGCGGCTCCAAGGAAGAAGGATGAGTCTATCTATCTCCACAAAGATCTCCAACCTTGGAAACCCTTCATAGGGTTATTAGTTGGAATCAGCTCTATGGCAGCAGGTTTGACTTGGTTTTTGGACTGATAATTGGAATGGAAAATGTAGGGCAAAGTCCTAGAATTGAAGACTTTACAAAGGCGTAGTGAGCCTGAGGCATGAGGTTGGATTAGCAGCAAGACTGTGGAGATCAACATACACTCAGACCATCTTTGAGCAGGGCATTGTTTCCAACTTTGCTCAAAATCCGTTGAGCAAGAGATTTGGTTGTTGTGTAATGCATACATTGCCCTTGTTTTCTAAGACGGATATTAAATTTCCAGCAGGACTTGGGCCTCTGGTTTTCCCTGTTTTCAGTACACTCAGTTTTAAGAATGTGGGTCTGTTTCATTTTTCTTTGGATAAGACAGAAAAGTAGGAGGTGCCCTGGAATGAATAGCTTGGATGTTTGTGAGTTGGGGTTAGGAACAGGGCAGCCAGCTTCCTGCAGTTCCTATTACCAGCACCACCTTTTTTCCTTGGCAGAGGAGTTTATACTTTTGATTATTGAAGAGCTCTGCCCTATAAATCAAGCTTTTGGCTTGTGTAAGTTAAGGGTCTTGCCATGTGGAAAACTTGCGTGGAATTGAATGTGTCACTAGAGACTGCTGGATATGTGTTCATTTGTGTCTAAGTTTATGGATGGGTTTATCTCTAGCACTGATTTAAGGCCAGGCTTGGTAGAGTTTGTCCATTCAGAATTTTACAATGGGAGCTAAGCTGTTATGTCAAATAACAGTCTAAAAATCAAGTTCTTAGAGATAATTCATGACTAATTCACCACTTGCCTAATTGCACTGAATTACTACTCAGTCATCCTTCCATGGTAAAGACTAATACACCATCGTGCACCTATCTTTTACCCATCACTGTGCAGTCTCTAAAAAAAAGTGCCTTTAGGCGTTCAGGTAGTGCTTTTGCACCGATTCAGACAAGAATTCCAGATTCAAGAATGAGTTTCTTGTTTGTGCAAATACACACAGACAATGGGGCAAAGCTTCAGAGAAGAAAGATTGCTTGTGGTTACGATTGCACTGTGCGCTATGTTCTCTTTGAAGTCTTCAGATCCATGCTCCCTTCCTGTGCCATTTGGCATGCACATAAATGTCTTATAGCTCGTAAGGTGTTGGTTGTTGCCCAGTTGACTCTGGCTCATGGTGACCTTATACACCACAGTACAAAACCTCTACCAGCCTGATGAGGGTTGCTGTGTTTGAGTTTATTGCTGCAGCTACCGTGTCATTCCACCTCCTCGAGGGTTTTGCCTCAACTCTACCAAACATGATGTCTTTTCCTGGCAATTGGTCTTTCCTGATCATTTGTTCAAAGTCAGTCAGTCAGTCTCTGTTCTTGCTTCTAAGGAGCACTCAGGTTGTATTTTGTTTTAGACTGATATGTTGGTCCCTCTGGCAGTCCACACTATCTGCAGTGTTCTTTGCCAGCACCACAGGTCCATTCTTGGTTTCCTTTCTCACTGTTCAGTGACAACCCTACAGATCCCAGCATAATGAGCTGGGTAGCTGCTACGTAGCTTGAGCCAGTCTTTGACCATTCTCTCTTTCAAGATCAGTTGAATTGCTTACAAAATTGAAAGTGGTGCCCTCATCAAAGCCAAACTTTAGGAGATCTTGCCTGGAAGCTCCTGCATACCCTTGGTCCAGTGGTCACCCCTTCCCGTTGATCCATCAGGCCATTTCTTCTCACTCTCCTTCCTTTTCTGTCTAACAGCCTTCAAATAATGGAATTGCTTGAGGCTCAGGTTTTTGTCCCTTCTCACTCCATGGCCTCTTCAAGCAACCTCAGGTACACATGTAAGCTCCAATCACTACCTCAGTGCCCATGGCTACTATATCGATCTCTAGTCTACACTTCTCTGCTAAGCTCAGGACCCTTGTATCTAAGGCCTACGTGACACATCTTGCTTATTTCACAACCATTGCAATTTCTGAACGTCTGTCCTAACCAGTCTAAGACAGATTTATCAGGAACAAACCTGTAGCCAAACAAAGTTTGGCTCATTGCCAATAAGAGAGAGCACACAGCAGAGGAACTGTGGGCGTCTCACCAGACAAAGAAAAGGAAAGCATTGCTATAGATTTGGGAGTAGAAGGGATTAGGTGAAATGCAAATGAGGCAGAGTTTTTAAAGGCTCAAAGCTAAGTAGATCTGTGTACATAGGGGTCAAAATCAGGCCTGACTGTGGAGAGAACCCAGACCCCATTTTCTTGAGAACGACAAAGTTAGATGGATGTGGACTGTGTCTGGAAAACCTGACTTTGAAGCTCAGCACTCAGTTGAAAATCAAAGTGACTCAGATTCTCCAGGCAAGAGTGGGCCATTTCCTTCTTACTGTCATAATTTCAAACAGCAAACTTCCTGTTAGTCTGAGATTTTCGAGCGTGTATTTTCTCAGTGAATAAGAAGTCAAAGTCACTCACAGAAGGGGTCATTATGACACGTTACAGCTGCACTATGTCCTTGGGAGAAATCTTGTTTCCTGTTTGGCTTTGTTGAGGCCCCGTCTTTTACCCTAGCCTGAGAAATGACAGGATACATTTTCACTGCCTCAAAGCCCGCTAATAGTTACTTTCTCATGTCTGATTCATGATTATTCATGCTTCTCCTCCTAGCCCCCTGCCAGAAATGGTAACGGAGGTGGACATAGCTGACCTCTGCCTTGCCTACTAACAGGAGTCAGACATGCATCAGCCTTCCAGTTTTCCTTACCTACTCTGAAGCCAACTGTCCCTGCCCCGACACTCTGCTTCTGTGTTGGATTTGAGAATTCATTGCAATGGCCACACACAACCCACAGACAATACTCACAATTAAGGAAGTTTCTTAGGGCAGTTAATAGGTTACCACAAGTCAGGACCAGTAAACAGTAAGGATACAGTCACTGGTCCACAGTAAAATCTCTTCTCAGCCAGTAGTCAAGTCTCTCTCTGGCCCTCAGTCTTTCAGCCATGGGGTCCCTTTGCCTCCATGGGCCAGGAAGCCAGCCTGGCAGTTTCTTTGTACCCTCAGTTCCATATGTAGCCCCCATGATTGAATGGGTCCAAGGTGGGGAGTGTTGTGTAATTGAGGGGTAAAATTAAACATTAGACAAGATAAGGCATGTAATTACTCACCTCCCAGATGGCCATGATCTCAGCAGCCAGGTCCGTGCAGAGAGAGAGTATATATTTCTAACTAAGGCTTATATATACTTAGGGCACATGCAAACCGCCCCAGATCACATCATAACCGGAAGGGGTTGTACAATAGGCATTCATGCAACAGGAAGGGGATGAGCTAGGGGTTGGTTCACACACACTAGGAAGCGGAGGTACTAAGAGCATACATGTGACAAGATGGCCTCCTAACCTTGGTTCTCCTGAGTTGACTTGACCTTGTCTTTGGGCTCTCCTTCAGGGGAACAACCATTATCCTTATCAGAAGGGAGTGGGCCCCACCTAGGGTGGGACAGACAATAGGGTCTGATTGCCTTAGATGGCTGATAGCCCTTAGGCAAATAACCTCTAAGCAGTTCACCTTCAAGTGTATAGCCACTGACCACGTGTTAGCAAGCAGCATCTTGGGTATGGCATATAATATGGGGGACAACCTGGGGAATAACTTTCCTGTATCCCACATCATAGTCTTGGGCCAGGTGAATAGTCTCCACGCCACCGTCTCTGGTGCAGCTGCTCTTGGAGATCTCTGCCACTTCAGACAGAGATCTTGGAGTGCTCTTCCCGATGAACCTGGGATTTCTCTCTGTGTCCCAGATGGCTCGTACACCCCGAGAAGTGGCTTTGATGGAAGAGTGGTTTGTCCTTTAGCTGACCATACCCCTAAGGAAGATGATGGATGGTGTCTTAAGTCACACACTCTACTACAGTAGTCTTAAAGATGCCCCTAAGACAACAGAGGGTGTTATTCTACTAAGGTCAGAACTTAACCCCCCATTAACCCTGTAATGGATAACTTTTTCTAAAGTGGGATCATAGCCACAGGCATAGAGTCTAGAATTAGACTAGCTCATGTAAGGAATGATGGATGGGAGGGACACATTCATTAACCATATGGTACCCTCAGCCTGGCCCACCTTCACCACGAAAAGGCCACAGACCTGGGAGACCTCCTTGGTGTTATCTCTCTTTCTCATCACTCCTCCTTCCTGGCCACCTCAGAGATGTCCCTAAGTTCACTAGCCTGTTCCATCCATCTGCATTGCTGTATCAGAGCCCCAGCCAGGGTCATGCTTCGCCTGAATTCCTGCAGTCGTCGCTTCCTACTTAGGTGTATGGATCACCTTCTACACACAATAACCCAAGTGCTTTGAACAGTTCAGTCTGGTAGGTCATTCCCCTGCTTGTCTTTCAGAGCTAACCAGCCTTCAATAACCGAAGGGCCAGAAGGCACAAATGTACGGCGATGATATATAAAGATTATAGTAAAGTCATAGAGGATAAGAAAGATAGGAGAGAGAGTAACATAAAGGAGCCAGACACATTTTGTAGTAGCATGCTCACCTCAGCTCTGGACTATGCAGAACTGGGAGAAGTGAGAGCGAGATTTTACTATCTAGGGGCATTTGTAGGTAGCCTTAAGACATGCAAATTCACTAGTAACATACATCACAAGGTGGGAAGTATCTA